CACTTTATATCCACCTTTAGTTAGTTAATAAATTTCACCGAAATCACAGGAACTGTGTGTGTGTATTGTTTGACTCCAACTAACTGTAACGGAGGATTTATGCCTTCGATTTGAGATTGACTGATCACTAGGAAATAATTGTATAATTATTAAGATATACTTAAAGGTTCCTAAAGCCTTGGGCAGACAGCAAATCTTTAGGTGGTGCCCTTAACGAGGATTTATGAATTAATATTAATATTCATAATTTGTATTATCAGTAAAGAAGGTATGCTACATAGGCAAGACTTCACAATTCTGATTTGACCATGTAAATTCTTAGTCGGGACACCCATAATTATGTCTCTTTCTCTGACTGATTCAGAGGACGACTTGGAGCGAGGAGTAGCTATGGACCTCGGGGATGTGATGGAAGCTGTGGAGGTTATATATATTCTATATTTTATAAAGCAGTATTTAATTTTGCATCATTAGTATCAATGGGCTGCCAATGATTTTTGCACACTGTGCAAGCACGATAACACAGCTAGCTCCCTCTCCTCATTCTCTAAAAAACATCTACTTGTTGAAAGCAGAGCTTGAAGTGGAAAAATAGGTGCCAGTACTATCCAGAACCTAGAGGAGTATCTAGTATGCATAAGTGTATTAGTGAAAATTATAACATTAAATAAAATGTATAACACTTTATTTGGATAGTCAGATAGTTTATAGAGTATTTGTAACATTCAAACAGCTTGTTAGGCTAGTTGAGATTCAACAATTCAACCTTTAACAAAGAAAACCATTTTCTGATATTACACCACTGTATTTCAATTAGTACTAATGTTATGTCATGTTGTTTATTATCATTTCCAATATTAGTATAGGCTACTATATAGCTTACAGGTAACAGGCATGCCATCACTTGTAAATAAATCTTTTCCTTATATAAGTTTATACAAACCTAAGAATGCTGCCTTTTGTCATGCTTCATCATGCTGAAAACTGATGTTGTTCGGCTTGAATACCCATAAGGTAGTCCCACCTTAAAGGTCCAGTGTGTAATATTTCTGAGGATCTATCGACAGAAACGCAATATGAGATCTATAACTATGTTTGTAAAGACCTTACATTATAAACCATTATGTTTATATTACCTTAGAATAAGCCATTTATATCTACATAACCGCGGGTCCCCACTTTGAACGTCGCCACATTGCATCGTCATATTTCTACAGTAGCTGAAAACAAACAAACAGCGCTACAGAGCACGTTTCGTCACTACGTTCTTCTTGTTCTACTTCTGGTAGAATTCAAGCAGTGTAGACATGTTGAATACGTAAGTTAAAAGAAGAAGAACTAGAAATAATATACAGCAGGGGTCAGCAAATAAGTTCTGCATCGGAGCAATATTTTCAACCATTAGATGGTGGATGAGAATATAAGCCATAAAATTCACTTACATTAACATGTTGGTATGTCAGTAAGGCGTAGAACTTGCAATCAATGGTTGTGTGTTGGATCCCATCTTGAGACAACTTTTTTTTTCCTCTCTTCAACAAATGGATTCTGTTCAGTGCAAGTCAACTGAACAAACCAACAAAAAATGTGGTAAAAAGCAAATACGGCTCATTCTTGCTGGTGGATTAACTCTGCACAAATGCTAATCTTTGCAAGCTTTTCAAATAAAGGTCAAAGACTTTGGCCAGATATTGAGCAATGTCTGCTCAAAGGTTTAATCTGATACAAATTTATGAACCACATTTTTATTTCTCCACCATGACCCGGGGGCGTTTGGCTACTTTGAAGTGACTGCAAAGCCAAGATGTTTCAGCTTTTTGGCAAGACTACACCTATTGCTGTCCACTTCTCCACTGTGGGTAAAAATAACCATGTGTGATTCATACCATATCATTGTTTTGATTAGATTAGCTTAGATTCACCACCTTTATTGTCATTATGCAGAGTAAGACTACAGAGCTAATGAAATGCATTACGGATGTAGGGGCCTACTAAATGTGGTTAAATGAAAGGACTTCTTTGTATGTTTGATTGATGTGGACTGAGCCAATTGGGGATCACTTGAGGGGAGGATAGAAAAAGATAGTCGAAGGAGAAGAATGAGAGAAGACGCACGTGGGAGAGACAAACGGCTGTGTATTGATGTGTGGTAAAACTTTCAGTTGAACTCGGAGAGAATTAATATTTGTAGACGTAAGTACACATGTATGGGCAAAAATATTACCTTGCAGTTAATTTATGTATCATAGCAGGCTCAGTCGTTTGGTTTTTTTTCCACTGAAAGTGATAAGTGTAGCTCTGTCAGTCCCCCGCTCCTGTTTGCAATAACAGAGAAATGTGTAAAAGTGCAAACTGTCGGACTTTTAAACTAGAGTGACATTAGCTTGAACTGTCGTGAGAGACAACCAGCTTAGATAACGAGCGCAGTTTTTTACCAGAGAAATAGACAGAAAGTGGAGCCGTGGGAGCTAGCCTGCTGAGTAGCACCGCTGTGAGGAGGGACCCCGCCCACGGGAATTGCATCGCCTGTGCAGGTGTCTTTCTTGTTCAGTGATCGAGGTTTGCCTGATGGCTTTCGTCACATGAATCTTCAAACTGGTCAATGTTGCTGGCGGGTGTGTCTGCCGCAAGTTCCATTACAAGGTCTGTTTAAGACCTGATTTAACCCGCATTTAACTTTAACCTCCTCCATTGCTTAGTTATGTCCTATGTGCTGCCCTATGTGCATGTTTTTTAGACTGATCAAGGAATAAAGAATCTGCCAGTAGAGGAGGCAGACCGCCTGGCTTCCACCAACCCAGATTATGCCACTGGAGACCTGTTCAACAACATTGCCAATGGCAACTACCCATCCTGGTCCTTCTACATCCAGGTCATGACCTTCAAGCAGGCCAAGCAGTTCTTGATGTGAGAGGTTTTTTTTTTTTTTTGTTGAAGTGAGTGAAGAATTTCACCAAGAGAGCTAATTGTAATACGGGTTATTGACATTATTAAAGAGGTCATATTATTCTCATTTTCAGGTTCATCACTTTATTTAGGGGTTGTACCAGAACAGTTCACATGGTTTCATTTTTAAAAAACACCATATTTTTGTCAAACTGCACATTGCTGTAGCTCTTTTCATACTGCAGCTCAACAATTAATAGTGATTATAGAACATACACAAGTACAAATTATTTTGTTTGTCAGAACATCAAAAGTAGTTATTATAATCATTAGAAAGCATATTTTAATCCAATTGTTTATATGTCCTTCTTTGACTGCACAACAAAAACCAATAGTGATGCTGACATTGAATGAAGTCAGTGATGATATTTATAACTGACTTCTCGCCACATTATCATACTTTTGTTTGTACTAGCCATTCCACTCTAATACAATACTAAGGGTTGTCCACTAGATGTCACCGTTTGGACCGTTTCAAAGGTGTTTACATAATTAACCTTTTGCAGCACATCTTCTTCATAGTGGTTCAGTGCTTCAGCAAGCGTTCCCATCAGTAAAAAGCAGGCATATGAGAAGGTTTTTTTAATTTGCCCAGTGTAACCAAACTCTGTAGAATATATGCACTTACAACAGTCGACCGCACCATGCAAAACACTTGGAAAAACTTACCTGAAAAGTTTAACACAGCATTTACAGCATCCCATATTTAAAGCCATAGTGACTGATGTGTCTGGCATCAGATTTACTCATTATAAGTAAGCTTAGTTACTTTCTTTTGCAGAATTGAACCCTCAACAGCATTTCTTTTCTTCCTGCCCCACTCACCAGTGTTTGGTCTGTCTAGCCTCTAGGTGGAGCTCCAAACTACTATCCCAACAGCTTCAGTGCCTCAGAGACCCAGCCCCAGTGTGTGGAGTCCAAGTTTAAGGTGTCTCCAGATGTGGAACGTTACAACAGTGCAGATGAAGACAATTTCACAGAGGTGAAGATAACATCACACTTCTATAGGCCTGTTTTCTGTGACCAGGCCATTTAAGCACATAAGAGCTAAATAAGTGTTTTTGATTTGTATATTACATATGTTCCTGTTAATTAACACACATCCAATGCATTGCATTTAGAGGGGCGCTGTTTCACTTATTGTAAGATGGTGAGAAATGGGGAAGAGATGACAACAACAACAACAACAACAACTCATAAGATTTATCGAAACTATAAACATTGTGTTCATTAAAATGATAGTGTGATAAAAACAGGGGAACCCTGGCTTCCCTTGGCCTCTGGGAGAAAACGGCACTGCTGCTGGGTGTTAGTCAACAACATTGCCAAGTAAACTCAATTTTGTAGTTTGACCGCGCGCACACGCCAACACACACTGGTGCGGAGCAGAATGGGCTGTCCACAGCTAACAACTGTTATAACGTTATGAAATGTTTCCACAGAAGCAACATGAAAAACAGCTGCAGGCATCTGACACACTACGCTTGTTAGTGATCTCCAAAAAATCTCTTTCTGGTTTTCCAGCCTGCAACTCTACTTGTTCACTCATTACTTTCACAAGTGCTTCACAAAATGCTTTTATACAGGTGCAAGCAGCTGTTTTCAGCAACACAATGGTGTGAAACCCACTGTATGCTTCCTGCCCAGCATCAAACAGACAGGCAAAGTCAGCAACTAGCAGGTGGAGTACTTAGCAACAAAAGATATTAAGAAGTGGAGACCAAAAACATAACTAACACAAGTGAATATTGGACTTACATTTGGTGGCAAGTAACACAACTCCAAATGTATGCCATTTTTTTTGTTTGCCTCTCCACCCTACCTCCCCTGTTGCAATTAAAAAGACAGAAATGCAAATAAGATAATTATCACCATATCTGGGTTAAAGGGGGCAGTAAGTCATATTTCTACTGCTTTGTATTTACAGTACATTATATTAGTTTGTTAAAATAGCATTACCAATTACATAGTTACTTTTTTAACTGCAATTTCTGTTTGACCTTGCAATTGAAATAATCTCATTCTCATTTATGCACTTTGACCAGGTTCTCAACTTTTTTGTGTGTGTATTGCAGGTTCTTACCTTCTACACCCAGGTTCTGAATGAAGAGGAGCGCCACAGACTTTGCCAAAACTGAAGGGAGCCCAGCTCTTCATCCAGAAGTGCATGGTGAGTCCACATCACCATATCTGTCTTTCATGCTTCCGTGCTTATATAAAAAAGTGGTATTTTTGAGTGAATAACCATGTCAAAGAATTTCCTTAAAAGGGGAAATACACTACTACTCAATTGACATGTACTTTTACATACTAATTTTACAAAATAAATATATTTTTATATATGTTTTTCAAAGAATGATTATTTGGGTTGGTGCCAGTTCCATGTAGTTGCTTGAGTTGCTTCCTGAATAAACCACAGGATGTAGCTTTTTGACTGCACCAGCGTCTCAGAAAATGTTGTAATGTGGGTGTAAGTCCTGTTTGTGTATTGGGCAACTCATACACATGGCAGTTTCAAAGTGCTACATTAAAACTTTAAGGGACTTAAAAATAGATTTTCTTCAAATTTCTCATAGCTAGCAATATTCAGGAGGCTCTTGATGTCTGATAAAACTCAGCCGTTCTGGGAAAAATTCACCAGGATTTGTCCCCCCCCCCCCCCCCCCCATTTTAAACCACCATGGTGTACAGGTACTGGTCATATAATTAGAATATCATCAAAAATTCCATTCAAAAAGTGAAACTTGTATAATGTATACATTCATCCGACACAGACTGATTTATTTCAAGTGTTCATTCCTTTTAATTGTGATGATTATAACTAACAACTAATGAAAACCCCAAAATCAGTATCTCAGAAAATTAGAATATTGTGAAAAGGTTCAATATTGAAGACACCTGGTGCCACACTCTAATCAGCAAAACACCTGCAAAGGCCTTTAAATGGTCTCTCAGTCTAGTTCTGTAGGCTACACAATCATGGGGAAGACTGCTGACTTGACAGCTGTCCAAAGGACGACCATTGACACCTTGCACAAGGAGGGCAAGACACAAAAGGTCATGCTAAAGAGGCTGGCTGTTCACAGAGCTCTGTGTCCAAGCACATTAATAGAGAGGCGAAGCGAAGGAAAAGATGTGGTAGAAAAAAAAAGTGTACAAGCAATAGGAATAACCGCACCCTGGAGAAGATTGTGAAACAAATCCCATTCAAAAATGTGGGGGAGATTCACAAAGAGTGGACTGCAGCTGGAGTCAGTGCTTCAAGAACCACCACGCACAGACGTATGTAAGACATGGGTTTCAGCTGTCGCATTCCTTGTGTCAAGCCACTCTTGAACAAGACAGCGTCAGAAGCGTCTCGCCTGGGCTAAAGACAAAAAGGACTGGACTGCTGCTGAGTGGTCCAAAGTTATGTTCTCTGATGAAAATAAGTTTTGCATTTCCTTTGGAAATCAAGGTCCCAGAGTCTGGAGGAAGAGAGGAGAGGCACAGAATCCACGTTGCTTGAAGTCCAGTGTAAAGTTTCCACAGTCAGTGATGGTTTGGGGTGCCATGTCATCTGCTGGTGTTGGTCCACTGTGTTTTCTGAGGTCCAAGGTCAACGCAGCCGTCTACCAGGAAGTTTTAGAGCACTTCATGTTTCCTGCTGCTGACCAACTTTATGGAGATGCAGATTTCATTTTCCAACAGGACTTGGCACCTGCACACAGTGCCAAAGCTACCAGTACCTGGTTTAAGGACCGTAGTATCCCTGTTCTTAATTGGCCAGCAAACTCGCCTGACCTTAACCCTATAGAAAATCTATGGGGTATTGTGAAGAGGAAGATGCAATATGCCAGACCCAACACTGCAGAAGAGCTGAAGGCCACTATCAGAGCAACCTGGGCTCTCATAACACCTGAGCAGTGCCACAGACTGATCAACTCCATGCCACGCCGCATTGCTGCAGTAATTCAAGCAAAAGTAGCCCCAATTAAGTATTGAGTGCTGCTTATGCTCAAACATTTCATTTTCATATGTTTCAGTTGGCCAACATTTCTAAAAATCCTTTTTTTGTATTGGTCTTACAGTATTGCTGAATTTTTTTAAAGGTTTCTCTTGCTTTCTCAAAACCTTAAACACAAATCACCAAACTTAAGCTACACTGTCAAAACCTTTGACTTTTCTTGCTATATCAAACAATTGCTTCAGAACTATGTTATCTTTACACAAAACCAAACACTGTTTTCAGGTAACACACACACACACACACACACACACCAGAGATAAATGCAAAACACTGCACTCAGGGCAGAGCAGGGGGAAAAATATTTTATGAAGTACTTGTACAATCCTGCAAACATACAGTAAATGTAGTCAAACAAAATATGCAGCAGATCAATAGCAAATAGTCTTGGAATCATTCTGCCTCAGCATCATGCCTCTGGGCTTGGTCAGGCCACAGGACCTCATCAATGTCACAGGCAGTCCTGTCTCTTGCTAAGCAACGGGGAAAGAATCCTTTAGCATGCCGAATCCAACCTTGAATCGCTTCCACTCCAATGTTGTCACATGCTGCGTCCATTTACTGAATGAGATTTTCCTGAAGGATTTCTGTCATAGACCCTCCACCTCCATGCAGAAAAAAAAAAATTCTTCAATGGGATTAAGGAAGGGTGAGTATGGTGGGAGGCACACATTTATAAAACGTAGGTTATTTTCAAACCACTCACGAATTCTAGGACCACGGTGAAAATTCACATTGTCCCAGATTACCACATACATGGGATGCTCTGCCTGCTCATCACCTCTGTTCACGTCTCAGTAGTGCTTCCTGTAGAGCATGCAGAAACATTATAAGATGGGCAGTGTTGTAAGGCCCTAAAGTCACATGGCGGTGAATAACCCCACCCCAAAATCGTGACCATATGTGCTGCCATCAGCACATATGGCCACCACGCTGCCCTGGCAACTCTACAATGGCACGTTGACCAATAATGTTGCGGCCTCTCCTTCTCCTCTTGGAGAGATTGAAGCCAGCTTCATCCAAGAAGATGCACTCATGAGGCCTCTCCATGGAATCCAGTTGAAACATTCTCTATAGAAATGAACAAAAATTAATTTTTGAAGTAACGTAAATGACATAGCATTCCAGGCTTTATGGCTCTGTATACATGGGCTGCATTACATTCAACACAGTAAAGATGTACAGTAACTCAATAGTGCTGTATAATCTCTGGACATGATTACTTGTACATATTGATATCATAGCTCTTTTACCCTTTCAGAATTTCTCTCAAATGGTACTCTGTAGGCTTGTTTGAGACATGTCAGGTTGCGTTTCAGGACACAGTCAATTGTGGAGAGACTCACACTGTTGATTCCTTCAAAGTTCACGTTGTCTTCCTCAACTCGCTGTTGTATTTCACGCAGACGAATGAGATTATTTTGAAGGACCATATTGACAATAATGGTCTCCTGCTGTTGTGAAAACATACCTCTCCTTCCACCAGCATGTGGCAGTCTTTCAATTCTAGCAAAAAAAACCTCGTTAGAATTGTTCAGACAGGCCTAATGCATTGAAATGTCAACAAATATGTACAATACATAAAATACTGTTATACTGCTATTAGTTTTACTGTAATACTGCAAGAAGAGAGCCAATTTTTAGACATGTTACAGTAATTTACTGAGACATTCCACAACTGTACATACTCTACTGTAAGTTTGAGGGACCACAAATGATAGTACACTTACCTGTTCTCTTCTCTGAATGTCCTGACAATGGAGGCCACAGAGAACCATTTGGTTGAACACGTAGTCCTGCTTTCCTCATACTCATTCCACGAACCAGAACATGGTGTATGATTGTTGCTCTAATTTCATTGGAAATTATGGCTCTTGTTGTTGTTGTTGTTGTTGTTGTTGTTGTTGTTGTTCCTCCGTCTCCTCTTCCTCTTCCTCTTCCTCTTCCACCTTCTCTCTTGCCCTCCATTGTGAAAATCACACATGCCATCTGGATTTGACATGGCTTTATATCCTTCTTACTGATTAGGAGCAACACATTACTGATTTGAAACAGGTGTGTTAAATTTTGTGCGCTACCGATGACAACAGTGTGTTGCTTGTGTTTCACTTTTGGGGGCTGTGTTGTGACATTCTGAGTTGAAGGGCACCAAATGGTTTTGCAAATGGATTTTAGTGTTTTAGCAATTGAGAAATACTGTAAGTAATATTCTAATTTTTGAAAATACTGAATTTGAGATTTTCATTAGTTGTCAGTTTTAATCATCACAATTAAATGAAATAAACATTTGAAATATATCAGTCTGTGTGTAATGAATGAATATAATATCCAAGTTTCACTTTTTGAATGGAAATACTGAAATAAATTAACTTTTTGATGATATTCTAATTATATGACCAGAACCTGTATAATTTTGATTGAGAGTTTGGTTATACGAAAAACTTTTCAAATTTGATTGCTTGTACTTTTACCACAAAGCCTTTAAAATAAGTTAATTGTATTAGATTGCATTAAAAGCCAATCAGAAGCAGAGAAGGGCGGGTCGTAAGAAATAAGGTAGTGTATTCCAAATCAAAGCTGCTTCAGACTGTGACCGTAACCTAGCAGATATAGCAGGTATAAGTTACTCAACCAAAGTCCACAACCACACAACATCATTGTTCCACATCTTACCATTAGGACACAGCTCATATATATATATATATATATATATATATATATATATATATATAAAATCATAGAGACATAATAGATTTTTTTCTCATTTTGTCTCTCATAGTTGAAGTGTACCTATGATGAAAATTACAGACCTCTCTCATCTTTCTAAGTAGGAGAACTTGCACAATCAGTGGCTGACTAAATACTTACTGTATACCACCCCTGCTTTACTACTGTTATTAATGAGCTAATGCTAATTTGTCATACTTGTACCACCAGAAGAGCTACTGGAGGGACGTTACGTTCCTCACTTAAAAACGGAACAAAAGTAGGATTCTAGTGACTTATCCTGCTGTTGGACTCCCTTCCTCCTCATCCATGACTCCAACATGTTTACGTTTTAGGTGCTGAATCATCGCCGAGGTGCTCCCGTGCCCTGCCATGTCGATTTTGCAATCCTTGCAATTAACACACTTGTTCGGTTTATTTAGTGTGAAATGCTCCCACACCTTGGATGACTTAGGTCGTACTGCTTTCTCTGCCTCCGCCATGTTTCAAAACAACGTTACGGGTCTCTCCGATGGTCTTTCCTCTACCTCCACTCTTCTCCGCGCATTTTTATTTTTGCTCCGCTCTGTCTATGAGGCGCCATACTGGACAAATGCGAACTCCGCGATTGAGTGACAGTGCGTGAGAGAGACCAAGAGTACTCCGGCTCATTTTTTTTTATATACTCAAACATATCTGCGTCGCAACGAATAGATTATGAAATTCGTTGCCAACTCTTTCAGAAATCGATTTAATCGTTTCGTTGTTGCAGCCCTAATCACAAATGAATTAGACAGGCATCTACTTAGTGAACGCTGTATAGCCTAATTTTGTATTAGGAAGAATGGGACACAACAAACATTGATGCTCAGATGTTGCTTTGATTGCTATAATAACATGCCAAGAAAGGTTACAGCAAAGTAATTACTTCATTTTATTCATAAGGAAAAAGGCCTTCTGATATATCACTCGAAAGCACGATAGACCAGTTGTTTGCAAGCCTCACTCAAACTAAGCCAGATGGGACTGATGAGGTTAAAGCAGGTTTGCATCTTAATGGATATTTTAACACAGTTTGTGGAGTGGAACTGAAATGTAATTGAGGGAATTGACAAACATTTTATTGCAATGTGGGTTTGATCAAGCAGCAGCAAAACAATTAAATCTGACATTTCCTGTTTTATCTCTTTAAACCAAATGTATCCCAATCACCCTTTGAAAAACAAGACTGGCTTCATCCCAAGTCTATGCTAATGCTATACACTGTCTACACCCGATACCACAAAGTCAAAAAAAAACTATTATTTTACACTGCCTGCTCCAGCAGCTAGTGTCTAAAAACCTATCTTCTTAGCTTAGCTTTTAAACAGCCTTTATTTTTACTGTTTTATATTGATCTTAATTTAATTAAATAGTGCATGTAAATGTGGGTGTGTTTGCTGTGTTATTTTATCTTTTATTTGTACTTGATTTAAAAATGCACTATTTCACACTTTTAATCTTTTAAATTTTTTACCTTTGCTGTATTTTTGTACCATGAACAAGTGTGTTGTTTTTGCTTTTACCTCATTGGCTTTCAATGGAAAAACCATGTGTGGGCTAACCACAAAAAAAACAGAAAGGAAATCATCACTTAAAGTGACACTTGCACAACTTCCAAATTACACTTGAACTGACAGCGATGAATCCTGTAGATTACCCGCCTGAGATTGTTCCATTGAAGGGAAGGTGTGATGGGCAGTTTGAACAGCCTGGACAGCCTGGACAGCCTGGACAGCCTGGAGGACCTACAATGGTTCAGTACACCACTGTGAACATAAACACTGAGCCCCCCAAGGACCACATCATCTGGTCTCTCTGCTGCTTTGTCTACTTAAACCCCTTCTGCCTCGGACTGGCAGCTCTCATCTTCTCCATCAAGGTGAGTTCATGTGCAACAGTTCTCAATTGTCAATCTTCTGTTATTCCCTTTTAAATTCTATTGACAAAGAATTTTGGCAATATCAGTTCTTAGAAAACCAGAAAGGGTTAGTGGAAAAAGAGGAAAGGGTTTACTAACTTTTTTAGGAAGTAAGTGATAAGTAAGATACGGTCCACACTGAGACATTTTAATAAAACACTAAAATACAAATAATTTCAAGAATCAATTAGATTAAAGCACAAAGACAAAAAGCACTCTATATGTGTTATAAACTCTGCTGGACATTTTTCAAGATGAAGAATCAGAGGAAGAAGAATTATGCCAAAGAAACAACCCAACGATAAGTATATAAATGTAGCCTAATAAAATTTTTTTAATTATAAAAAAGAGAAATATATCACATTTTCAGCATAGAAATACAAGAATCTAAAGCTTTTGCGGGAGATTATTAAACCCATGCTGAACATTATCAGTTTAAGTTCCCTTGAGGTCGATCATGAATGAGCTGTGAATCTACTTTTAAAATCGATGTGCTTTGGTCCTTGCAGGCCAGGGACCGGAAGGTGGTTGGAGATCTGGATGGTGCCCGACATTACGGCTCAACTGCCCGCTGTCTCAACATCACGGCCACTGTCCTGGTTTCCATCATGATCTTGATTTCCATTATTATATTGACCGTCTTTATTATAGTGGCACATTACCACTAAATTTCAGTAGTGTTAAATGAGTGACCTGTTGGTGTTGCTTGGTGATCCTTGTGTTTGTCTGTTTTATGCTCATGGCACAATTTGTAACTTGTTATACCTGTTTAGTACAATCCCCAAGCAAAACAGATTCACATTTTATTGGTGTTCCAAAAGTCTTAAATGGAACTACTTCTCAACTGCAATCAAGTTTTAATATCAGACTTTTCCTGTATGTGAGACTTGTGTCTTAGCAATTGTTTCAGCCGCACAGTTTCATTTGTCAATAAATGAAAGTTTAAATTTTACGTTGCCTAACTTTTCTGAAATGTGCTTGTGAGTTTTTAGGGGTGAAAACAATTATAGTGCTACCATGTACTGTTTATATATTTTTATTGAGAACAGACTTTTTTATTTTAATGTAAAGTTTGATCAAATGGCAGCACAATAGATGTAACCTATGAGTGAGTTTGTGTGCTTGTCTGCAGGGCTTCATCTGTTAAGTGCTTGTATTAGCCGAGTAGGGGCATGGCAATGAGTTTATTAACTTGTGTTTTCTAAACCACTGGGCAACTTCTGGCTTGAAGGCTTTTGCATCTACCCTTCTATAATTTCCTAGTTTTCTAGGCGTAGTTTTCACACTGATTTCCACTCATCTGTGTTTTAGGATCTTTGATCCAGCCATAGGTCACCCCTAGGAGAACGAGAGACCTGATTTCTACATGTCCTTTTAATGGCGAAGTCACTGTGGCTTTATGTGATTACGTCACACTTAGTTCAACATTAATAATGTCTGAAAAGGATGGATACGTCTGATACGTTGTTTTATCAATTCACGCAATGAATAGTCATTAGTTGAGCATTACTTAAGTACCTCAATTGTACCCTTATTATAAAGTGTTACCAATGGCGTGTCTTAAATAACAATATCACATTACTATGTCTTTACCATTCTCATATCAAATGATTAATAATCAATAAAACTTCAGGTTACATAGCATTGTTAAAATAATTACAAGGGTATAATTGTAGCTAACCTTTAAACCGTAAGAAATGTGATCACGTTGCAGCTGTTACCTCGCCAGCATCCGTTCCAGATGCCGTTTTGGGAGTTTTCAGGTTCTGCAATGAATACACACAAATAATTTCTACATTTACAAGATTACATTTAATAGTTATGCATCTCCTTAGTCGTTTGCAAGTTTAGAATCTCAGGAATCCATCCATATAAACCAAGATAGAACCACACTGCTCTCTGCTTAGCTTTTATTTTTTCTTGAGATTTTCCAACTTCTTGGAGACCTCTTGGGAAGTGACTTGGCCCTAAGGCCAAATTATTTGATCAATGTCCTATATCATAATAAATTTAAATAGATTTATTGTCATTTACCAGATGTTCCACACTAGTACAATGAAATAGTATTTACCTGGGATTACTAGACACAACAGAAACACATGATTTTTTCCAAAACCAAAATCACACATGAAAAAAAGATTAAAAGAAACACATTACAACACATGCGCAACATCCCATACCGTCTGCTACATTATAGCAGATATTGTGAGACCTAGTGTGTGTGAGGTTTTAGCAGACTGTAATGTGAATATGAATAAATGTTATATCACAATGACCTTTTCTCAATTTCATTTCATCAAGACTATGGAAACCGGGTTCAGGCCCTTCTGGACAAAAACAATGGGAAGGCCCAGAAGTGAAACATTGAAAAGTCTCCTTCTAGTGTTAAGTTATTTTACTATTTCTCACAGAGGTACCATTGTGGTCAGTCCACCCATCCTACCACCTCTTTTGTCCAGAGTTGCCATAAAAAGTGTTGCAGATATTCATGGTCCACAGAGAATGAATCCTTGATCCTTGACATTTGACTTAGACATTTCTTGTCAATGTACACTGTGTACAATGATTCTGTCAATGTGACTATGTGGGCTTCTAAATTGCTAGCACCTTTATTTGACACTGTAACAGCGCATTCTGCTTCACACGGACCACGCCCTCAGGTTTTACTCAAATAAACCATGTCACACATTGTTCTGACTTCATCAGGTGTCAAGGCTCAACAACCAGAATAAAGCATCATCACCAATGAATAGCAGAGGTAGCTACTTAGTGAACTCTGTATAGCCTCATTTCCCATTAGGAACAATGGGAAACAACAAGAACTGATGCTCAGATGTAGTCTGGATTGCCATAACAACATTATTGGTATGTTAATTCACAGCAGAAATTGGACCAATTGTTTGCAAGTCTCACTTAAACTGAGCTGAACGCCCACTGTGACCGATGAGATTAAAGCAGGTTTGCATCTTCATGGATCTTTTAACATAGTATGTGGAGTGGAACTGAAATGTAATTGAACAGATTGACTATAACCATTTTATTGCAATGTGAAGTTTGTTCAAATGTCAGAAAAACAGATTTAATGTGACATTAGTGGGTTTCCTGTTTCTCACGATGTATCCCACTACATAATCACCCTTAGAAAAACAAGACTAAGACTTTGTCTGAAGTCCATGCTAATTCAATACACAATCTAAACTTGACAGTAAACTGCTTTGGCAGTAAGAACACAAAAATATCAACACAGGAAATAACACTAAATCACACTACACAATTGGAAAGCTACTGCTACTACAATTTCACATAGAAAACTAAAAATAAGTATTAAATCTGAGAAAAAAATGTTTTGGTGTCAGTATTATTTTTTTGAGCTATGTTGAGCTTGTTGTGTACATAGAGGAACTGCTAGCAAGACTTTATTTTCTAAAGTTACCACAACAGATAATCAAAAAATACCTTTTTTTCACAACTAAAGTACATTTGACATTGACTGAGTACAACAAAAATATGTAGAAAGGCATGTTTCGCATCGAAACACATTATGTTCACACAAAGTACATGCAGAATTTGTAAGATTTTTCTCTCTATTTTTAAAACTATCTTTTACTATCACTATGCTCATTGTTCATAATTGATTATCGCTGAAACATTTCCGGTAACATTATAGCTATGACCTTCATAGAAAGTGTTACCCCATTTCCTTACCATAATATACATGAATGTATTGTTGTTTTATTTGCCTTTCATGTTAAGATTCAAAACTTTAGTATCACCACCCTAAGACGTGAGATTTTTACTATATGTGATCTTAGTGGGATTCAAACCCCCAACCTTAGTCCTAGTAGCTTAGTGCTCTAACAAACAGAGTCACAAAGGACCACTGTAAAGATTACATTTTATACAATACAATACTGTAAAATACACTACATGATTACCATCCATAACTATTGTTATAGTATTTGTTGCATTTGATTAGACAAAACCTGTATGTTGCAATACTGTAAAATACAGTATACACTTCATTACATATAGGATAGATATTATGGAAATCATAGATGATGGATGTAAATATCTTTTACAGTACTGAAGCACACTATGTTCTGCACTTGTGATTTGAAACATGTATCTTGCATGGTTTGTTATTGGATTCACTGGACTTTAAAAGGACTAAACTGAAAAGATATCATTATGTTGTGTTTTGGTGATTAAACCATATTTTCTCATGACATTTAACGAGAAACTTAAATTTTTAATCAATGGTTGTGTGGTGAACGATGTTAACAATCCAAATAATTGCACAGTAGCAAGTTTTGTCTGTGTTACAAGTGTGATGAGTTTGGAGTTTTGTATGAAGAGCTGTGAAATTTTACCACACAGTTGCGATAATAGTACCACAACGATCAACAAAAACTGTATTCCAACACAACAAACTCCTGTCTGCAACTCTGAGTCACGTTTCCATCGTCATCCTTCTGCAACAACTTGCCTCTCACAATATTTCAGAGCAAGAATTGTCCTTGAGTGAGACTTCTGTATCTGTCTCCCGCGACATCCCCTCCCTCAACCTGTACGCTTCAGCACCCTGTTCCCCTTCGAGGGAACTGCGAAACTACTCCAATCCTATTGGCATTGCTCGAACGATAGCGTGGGATGGCGTAACTGGAGGCATATAAAGCAAGCCAGCACACAGGACAAACCAGCATTTTTCTATTCAGCAGGTGCTCTGATATGTTTGATGGTCGAAAGCTCCACGAACAACCACAAAGTTTGTCCTACCTGGAAGTTTTGCAGAGGAGATCATGGCTGGTGAGCAGTTCCAGAAGTGTGTCTTTCCATGCCCGCGCTACATCACGGCTGGGGACACTCATGAACTGTGTGTGTCTTGTCTGGGGATGCCGCATGCCGCAGGCCCTGCCCCTGAGGGTGCTGAGGTTTCGTGCGGCCCTTTTTTCTGAAGACGGCCGGATGCGCTCTCCCCGTGGCTCGGGTCCTGCGGTCACTGAGGTGGCGCGGCGGCTTCAGTCATGGGGCTCGCAGCGCGATATCTCCGTGGACATCGGGACTGCCAAGGCTTTTTCCTCCCCTCTTCCCTGCAGCTGTCCGATTTTGAGGAATTGGATGTGCTCAGCATTGTGGAGGTGGAGGACTTCCGGGAGCCGGGCCGACGTCATCAGTTGGCGCCCAGCTACGATGAACTCTTGGAGGTGGTGACGTGGGCGGTTGCCAAACACAATATCAATTGGCCGCAGGCTGTGCAGGAAACGCTCATCAAGTTTACTCCCAGCACCGCGTCCGTGCTGGTGCCGAGCGGGCCCTTTTCAGCACGCCTGGCTACTCCCCCGCTCTTGGATTAAAGAAACGTTGCGGGGGTTAAGGGATTCGGCTATGGGACGATGCCCCGGGTTGAGGATGCTTTGGCCAGCTGTCTCTCACCCAGTGTCGTCCCTTAAGGAGCCGACGCTGCCCACCCAGGCATGTCGGATTACGTCTGCTCTGGTGGGCAAGGCTTACATGGTGGCGGGCCGGGCTGGCGCAAGCCTGCACACAATGGCTGTTCTGCAGGCGTACCAGGCCGACCTGTTGAAGGACATGGACCAAGGGGGAGGACCCTCTGATGAGGATGTTGCCGAGCTCCGCAGAGCTACGGATCTGAGCTACGGGCCCGCGCCATTGGCTTCTCCATGTCAGCGCTGGTGGCCACGGAGCGGCACCTGTGGCTCAACTTTTCAGGCATCCAGGAGAAGGAGAAGTCCGTCCTACTTGATGCACCTGTCTCGACCTCTGGCCTGTTCGGCGAGGCGGTGAACACTGTCGTCAACAGGTTCCAGCGTGTCAGAATGCAAGGAGAGGCGTTCCAGCAATATCTCCCTCGCCGGTCTGGGTCCAGGACGGCGACGGCTGCAGAGAGGCGGTCTCAGCCTTCGACCAGCTCCTACCACCAGATGCAGAGGCGGAGTGTCGCTTCTCGGGGTCCCCCTCAGCAAACCTGGGACTCGAGGCGGCACTCGAAACGGATCTGAGGACCGTTATTCAGTCTCGCTGGGGTCGGGGGAAGAGGTCCTGAGGCTCCCGCCCTTCCCCCTTTCCTATCCCACTGTTTCTCACAGGAAGTTCCTGAGGTTCGCCTTTGGGGGCGCGGCATACCATACCACTCTCCCCTCGCACATTCACCAAGTGTATGGATGCAGCTCTGGCCCCGCTGCGGCTCCAGGGCATCCGCATGCTGAAATACATCGACGACTGGCTCGTTCTGGCCAGGTCTCGGGAGTTGGCTGTTCGGCATCAAGATGTCGTCCTTGGCCACCTTCAGCATTTGGGGCTGCGGCTCAACGCGAAGAAGAGCGTGCTGACACTCACCCAACGGACTACGTTCCTAGGGGTGGTACGTCGATGTGAGCCCAACTATCTCCTGCATGCGTCGAGTCCATTTTGTCCACGGTAACCGGGGTGAAGCTAGGCCGCACCATCACAGCGAAACACTTTCAGAGGGTGTTGGGTCTCATGGCAGCTGCATCCAGCATAGTACCTTCTGGCCTGCTACATATGAGAGCCCTGCAGTGGTGGTTGAAGACCAAAGGGTCTCCCCGAGGGGGAACCCGTTCCTTCTGATAAGGGTTACGAGCGGGTGCCTTTGTTCCCTGTCTGTATGAAAGAAACCTTGGTTCTTGTCCCAGGGTCCCAAGTTGGGGGCACCATGTCGCCGGACAATTATTTCGACAGACGCCTCCCTCACGGGGTGTCAGGAGCGTCATTTCTCGTGGCACATAAATTGCCTGGAAATGTTGGCGGTGTTCCGCGCTCTGCGGAGCTTTCTGCCCGACCTCCGATGTTGCCACGTCCTCGTCAGGACCGACAATACGGCAGTGGTGGCCTATTTGAATCACCAGGGGGGCCAGAGGCTGCATCTGTATGTGTTTCTGTATATGGCTGCATCTGAATGTGTTTCCCCCAGTCGCTCTGCTCCCGGGGTTCTGGAGCGAGTCCGTCAGGACGGTGTCAGCCTACTGTTATTAGCCCCGTTTTGGCCGGCCCGAGTGTGGTTCTCGGACTGAGGAGGGACCTGCTGTCTCAGGCGGAGGGCCGGGTCTTTCACCCTTGCTCCGCCCTGTGGAGGCTGTGGGTCTGGCCCCTGAGAGGGCACAGTTCCTTGAGGCGGGCCTGACGGCAGGAGCGGTCGAGACTCTGCTCAGCTCCAGAGCTCCATCCACGAGGAGGACGTACGGCCTGAAGTGGAACGTGTTTTACACCTGGTGTAGAGAACGGGTGGTGAACCCAGTTACCTGCCCAGTAATTGCGGTACTGGAGTTCCTCCAGCACCGTTTCTTTGCTGGCCTTTCCCCATCCACGCTCAAGCTGTACGTGGCTGCTATTACGGCTCTCTGAGGGAGGGGTCCTTGGGGAGGCTCCCGCTGGTCGTGAGCTTCCTCTGTGGAGCCCGGAGGATGAGACCCGTGACTCGCTCCAGGATTCCCACCTGGTGGTTCTCAAAGTAATGGCGGAGGCCCCCTTCGAACCCCTGGAGTCGGCTGAGGCCAAGCACCTGACCCTTAAGATGGCCTTTCACCTAGCTATCACCTCTCTGAGGAGGGTGGGGGACCTCCATTTCTCCCGTGGAAGGTCAAGGCTGTCTTGCACCCCTGTCCGGACTACGTCCCCAAGGTACTGTCCAGTATGGCGGGGTCTACGGTGTTGCAGGCGTTTCATCCCCCACCTCATGTGACAGCAGAGGACGGGAGACTTCATCTGCTCTGCCCTGCCAGGGCACTGAGTATTTACACTCTGAGGTCCTCCTGGTGGAGGAAAGCAGACCAGTTGCTAGTGTGTTTTGGGTCCCCCAAGGCTGGGCTCCCCGCTTCTAAACACACTATCAGCAACTGGATAGTTCAGGCTATTTCCCTGGCCTATCAGGTGCGCGGTTTGCCTTCACCTATGGCCGTGAGGGCCCACTCTACTAGAGGCATGGCGGCCTCTAGGGCCCTCCTCTCAGGGGCTTCTCTTCGGAATGTGTGTGAGACAGCTGGCTGGGCCACTCCGCACACGTTCATCAGATTTTACATTCTGGACCTTCCTTCTTCCGCACCTTAGCGCTCTCCTCTTAGACGTGCCTACAGGTCACTGCACGCTGGGGGAGGCGGAGGCTTTTTGACGTGGAATAGTGGGTATCTCGTTCACATAGTGTCGTCACTGACGCAGTTCGAGTTCCCTCGAAGGGGAACGAGACACTGCGTTGGTCCGCCACGCCTTGCCCCGCCTGGAGCGCCTTGCTTCATAGCAAAGAGCTGGTTTGTCCTGTGTGCCGGCGTGCTTTATATGCCTCCAGTTACGCCGTCCCACGCTATCGTTCGAGCAATGCCAATAGGATTGGAGTAGTTTTATTCATAATTCAGCCCTGCCACGCCTAGAGGCGTTCCCATAGTGTCGTCACCGACGCAGTGTCTTGTTTTTCAAACTTCAAACCCATTTATGTTGATGATCTAGCTCATCTTAATTACATTTAATCAGGCACCGCCATCTACTGCAGTTTTATCAAGTGTAACACACAAAGCAACACAAATCGGACACATTAAATATCAAAATCAATATTTTTCCCATATTATTCTGTTTTTAAACGGATTTTTATGTTTTATTTTAAAACGGAACATCCCCCCCCCCCAAAGAAATGACTGTTTTTTTTTGTTTTTTTTTTGAAACGAGTCAGCACCAAAGCTTTGCTGGTTCCCTCTTTCCAAATGAATACACACATTTAAAAAAGGTACCCTGTGGAGATTTTGACTGCTAGTAGCACTATATGAAGCAATGTGTTTACAAATGGGTCCCAGTTATGAGGATACACATGTGGGAGAGCATGCTGAAATGCATTCAACACAACTCACAAAACGCTATAGTTTATGTTTCCTTACACAAAGAGAGGAGAATTCTTGTTTCAGTGTTAGTTTGAAGTGGTCAAGAAAGTGGTTTGTATGATAACATATTTATCATTTACAGTTTTTCACAATTGCTTAAACACTATTAGCAGGCTATTGAACTAAAATTTCAAAACCATAACTCCTTTTATCAAAAAGCACACAAAGACAATAGGCTTCACGAATGGACCAATGAGCAAACTCTATGTGCAGGTTGTACTCATGGGAGTTGTAGTGTCGTAGTGTCAAATTGCAATTTGCTTATTTCAGATGCATTTTGAAGAGACTACAATCTTTTAACATGTCAAAGTTGCTAGTGGGAGTGACTGTGTTACCCGCCATGGCTGAAATCCACTTGAATTTGGTGGGTCTGTTATGAGCTTATTTTTGGGTTATGTTTGTGTTGTATTTTTCCCTGTGTGTTTCTGGTTTTACCATTGTTTCATTTGTCTATCTATTTGCCTTAGTTCCATGTTTAAGTGTTTTCCTGATCTGTATACTTCTGTGTTTTATCATTATGGTCTGTGTCCTAGTCCTTAGTCTTATATTTCTATGTTTTAGTGTAGTCTTGTCTCCTGTTTGGTCCTGTCTCTGTCCGTGCCCTGATTTTCCATGTCTTTCCATGTTTTGGTGTTTTACTTTGGTAGATCTGTCCTTGTGTGTTCCTGTGAACTTTACTTCCTGTTTTATTTTGGTAACCCTCTGTACCTGGTGTCCTTGTCTAGCTTTGTTTGATTACCTGATGTATCTCAGCTGTGCAGCCCTCCCTGCTCGTTTACCAGTGTGTATATATTGTCCTCAGTTGTCTTCAGTCTTTGTCACGTCCTTGCATCTAGTGTTCCTGCCTGTTCCTTTGTTTTCCCTGTTCTGGCTTATTCGCTGTGTTTTTGGAACCCCTTTGTGTTTTCTGGATTACCTTTGTTTGGACTTTGCCTTGAGCTCTATGGAAGTTTTGCTGAATAAATCTTTTGTTTGAACTGCATCCTCCTCTTGCCTTGCCATTGTCTGCACTCAGCGCTCCCCGTGACCAGGTCGGTTGGTGTTAATGTCAAGCCTTACATGCATGCACTTCAACTATGTTCTCAGTCACTCCAGCAGTAGCACAACCTGCAGATCACTCCTTGTTTATCCAGTACGTTCTTCTGTTTATTTTTATTTGGTACTAGATTTAGTGTTATTAAAACATTTTGGATAACAGCTTGGTACATTTACATGCAGCACATTGCAATACAAATCCAGTCAATTTATCTGAAGCGTTACAAGGAGCAGGGAACTACAGGAGATGCGTCATTTAAAATAAAGAGGTCATTCTTTGCTACAGACTCAATTCTGACATGACCACCTTTGATTTTATTTGTCAGCTTCTACATTTATGTTGACTGTATGTTTATCTACGTGTAGCACCTGTGTAAAACACTACTTGGCAATAAAGCTCCTTCTGATTAACAATTGTCCTGATGCTGTCTGAAAATGGGCACATTCTTAATTTATTTCTTACTTAATTTTAATTTATTTTGAACATTGTAGAGTTCAAATGGAATGTGACTTTTTTTTTTTTTTGTTGTTGAAGATTTCACCTACACTGATGTTTTGCAGATTAGGATGTTTCTCCTGTTTTGCATCCTTTGCCTGATGCCTCCAAGTGGCTACAGTCAGCTCAGTGGTCCACCTGGTCCACCTGGTATACTTGGTCCACCTGGTCCACCTGGTCGACATGGTCCATCTGGTCCCAAAGGTGAACGTGGATTTACTGGGCCAGCGGGTATGTAATACTCACTATCCAAAGTCCTAGGATCATTCTTTCTGGACAGATTCCTGTCATCTTTTTGTCTGAATTCTTGCACCCCCTATGTCCAAGGCAGTTTCGAGAGAGATTGCAGGATTGTCATTAAAAACAATCTGCAATGATCCTCTGAGGTCAGCTTCCTTGTTCAGTTTCTTTATTTGGCTCACTGTGTCAGCTGTGATGGTCAGACTGTCAACTTCATAAACATTTCAAAATGTACAGGAAGGATTGACATCCCATGCTGGGAAAAATATTCAAAAATGAGGATGATTGGCCAAACTACATTGGGCCAGTCTGTCATCTGCAGTCTCACTCAGGCAACACATATAGGGAAGACTGACATTCAATGGATCCTTTCAGGCTCCCCAGAGGATAAACCTTTTTTGACTTAGGTAACCTTCAGCCCTCTGAGAATAGCAAAAGATGTCTCAATTTTTGGGTTTTCAAGTAGAAAACAAACATTATAGCCTGATGGGGCTACTAGTGAGACGATGGATTTTTAATATTTTTGTCTTTCTCTGCTCTTCTGGGATCATAGGACCTCCTGGATTTCCTGGACCTGCTGTAATCTGTGGACGAGGTTATATATATTCTGGATTTTAAAAAATTACTTTCACCAGCTGGGTAACAACTATTATTTAATAAATTGCAGGATGCAGCAGTAGTACAACTTGCGGGCAAACTTCAGTATCGTCATTGTGGTTAAGTATAGATGGATACACAAAGGGTGGACATCCAAAGAAACACTTGTACAGTGTATCCTAGTTTAGTTACAATAACAATTCTACTTGGTTTTTAAAGCTAGTGTTTTTCCTTGAGGCAGAGTCCAAGAGATTATTTCAACTCTTTGATCCCATAGTTTGTAAATGTAAAGGTAAATGTCACAAATTTCCCTCATAAAGATCAGCCATACGTTTGGGAGGGGATTTCAATGGTAGAAAGAGAAGATGACTAGAAATGTAATCAGGCACATAGGGTCTGATTAAATATGCTATTGAGCTGCATTAAGGGAAATTAATTCAGTATTTCTGACCTATGGAATCAAATCCACCTCTGCTTCTTTTGACCCATTTTCTGTTACAGTTCAATTGTTTAAACACTAACCAGTCTATTGAACTAAAATTTCAAAACCATAACTCTACACACAAATCCCGTCAACACAAACAGTCAAAATTGATAATACATCAATCAGAACCTTCAAAGATGGATAAAAGGGCCAGAGTGGGTTTGTTCAGTTTTGGAACAATGGATCCAGGCATAATTTCAAGTAATGTGTTTAAGCAATCGAGAAACTGTAAATTGGTGCCCTGGGCTACTACAGTTTATCTCAAACACACAATACTATAGTGTCTCTCACACTGGTGAGAAATAACCAGTTTTTTAGTTGTATTGTTAATAAGCAATGTTGCTTGTCTTTCTCCCCCTTTATAAACCTTTTCACATGAACATAACAGACACAACAAATGTAAGCACTTGCACTTTTTTAAAATTCCATAATGTACAGTATAATTCACCATTAAACGCATAAAAAAAATTTAAAAAACATTCTGCCCCAGCATCATATCTTTGGTCTGAGAAAGGCCAGAGAATCTCATCCACCTCTTTTTTTCCTCACCCAACTTCTCCTCCTCCTCTCAGGTGTCCTCTACCTCTTCCTTCACTTCTTTCTGGATCCATTGTTCCAAAGTGGCTGAACTGATTCTGGTCCTTTTATCTATCTAGTGAAGGTTCTGATTGGTGTGTTATCAATTTTGACTGTTTGTGTTTCCACCTGGGTAGTTTGTTGCTACTTGAGCTCTTTTTGATAAATGGAGTTGTCGTTGTGTGTGTGGTGTGTGTGTTTTTTTTTTTTTTTTTTTCAAATTTCACTTCAAAAGCCTGGTTATAGCATTTAAGCAATTGAAAACCTGTAAAAGTAGCCCTTCAAAACAACACTAACAGTTACTTTTTATTGTTGAATAATCTGTCTATATTTTTATATTGTTTGAGCCAATTAATCATTCAATCTGCATTCAGTTTGAGTCACTTAATTCACGGCACATACGCCTACGTGTCTAAAGTGTGCAAAACTATCATTGAGTGTGTTCAGAGAAGGAAAAAAAATAGAGATAACTTTGTGTGTAAGCAGTTGTAAAAAAAAAAAAACTATCTTGACATGTCACGCATTTTTTTTTTTTTTTTTTTTTTTTTTTTGAAACCTCTCACTCAAATAGCAAAACCTCAACTTCAACCTCCAAAATGTCATAAGCTATTTCTCAGCCTTTCACTCAGTTTTCAATTGTATAAAATACTCTTTTCAAAAAACTACACACAATTCTCTAAGACACAAACAGGAAGTGACTTGCTTTCTTTTTCCAAACACAACCAATGAAAATGCTACACTTCTTCACCAGGTCACATACCCACTCCTCACATGCGCAAACACTAACTGCTTAACTGATCACTAACCATGACTGCTTTAGTGTACAGTAGATCTATACATAGGTCAAAGGTCAGATTAAACAATGGATGATGGAACAGTGGATGCCAACAATGGATAGAGAGCAGGGGGAGTAGGAGGGAGAGGCGGAAGACGACGAGGACAAGTTCAAGGAGGAAGAGTTGGAGGAAGAGGAGGGCAAAGAAGAGAAGGAGAGCCATTACTGATGAGATCAGCGTCACACTTACTGATCATGTGATCAACCACAGGTTGACAATGAGAACAGCTGGACTGGAAAGCCCAACTTCCTGCCTGTACATTAGCATCCAACAGGTTTCAGCAATCTAATGGTTATTTCAGCAGTACAGTATTTTTGGCATAAAAGTAAAAATTATACTTTGGTTTACATATGTTTATGGTTTAATTTTCTTGTATGCTACTGTATACAACACTGCTACTGTTACAGCTGTAATTTCTTGCCAAATATCTTCTGTATCACACTGTACTGGTGTTTATAGTGTACATTTCAGCCCATCTAAGATTACTTTCACTCTATAACATTGTATAGAAATGTACACATAAGCCTATTAAAGACAAGAGCTTTAGATTTAAAACAATGTGTAAATGGTATCCAAGGTGTTTGCCATCTGATGCCAATGCTTATTTTGGGATAGGTTTATGGCATTTTGAATGTTTAATTTTAAAGGACATGAGACATTTTGCATTTTGTGTGTGCAGTTTTGGGAATTGTGTGTAGAGTTTTGAAAAAAGGAGAGAGTTTTGAAAATGTATGTAAGCAGTTGTAAAAAAAAAAAAAGAAAATGTCACAATGTGGACTCCAACTTACTGTCAGTTTGGTAACTAAACTTAATCTGTTTGATCCAGATGTGTTTGGCTCCATTAACCAGGACCTTGAAGCCTTAAAGAACACCCAGCTCTAAGTTAGCAGGCTAAGTATTGTATTCAAGCATTACAAGGGATTGTTAGAGGAAATGAGTGCATATGGATGGAGACTGTATGTATTATAGCTATTTAAGGGACAGTTCTTAGTTAGATTTCTTGTAGGGTAAGCGGAGTGATTCTTGGCATCGTTAATCTTAATGTCTTTACTCCATCCTGAAATGTTTTTCCAAAATGTTTATCTTGAAAAGCAGAGTCAAATGAACATATTTCACTTGTGTATGAAGCAAAAAGAAAGTCTGATATTTTAGTGTCAGAGGAAAAACAAACATGTAAAACAAAGTGTGTTTTGTCAAAGACTTCTCAACAGAGTTTGAGCCAGATGGCCAAGACGACAACACAAATTAGTTGGATGTAGAATTAATTCATTTATTCCTTGTTTGTTGTTTTTTTTTTTTTTTCTTCAGCTACAAACTATGTTTTTTTCCGGAGGGTTGGTCAGAAATACTTTGTGTCTAATAAGGAGAGAGGCTCTTTCTCTGGGGCCACAGAGTTCTGCTCCCAACGAGGCTTGGAGCTGGCTTTGCCCCAGAACGAGGAGGAGAACAGAGTACTGACTCAAGTGTTTGGGGATGTTGACAAAATGGCCTGGATCAACGTCAACAATAAAAAAGCAGAGGGGAATTTTGCAACAGATCTGAAAAATCGACCTCTGACCTTTACCAAATGGGGAGAAGGGCAGCCAGACAAATCCATCCAGGACACAGGCTGCACCATGCTGTCAGAAAATGGTGTTTGGCGAGTGACACACGAATGCTCCTTAAATGCTTACATCATTTGTCAGATATAGAAGGTTCTTATATCATTGCTCTTACTTCCACATGTAACACTCCCTAAATCATCATCATCAGCATGACATTATTACTGATGCAAAGACCTCTTCCTTTATGAAAAAGTATCAAAGTACATAATTAAAGGATATTATAAGAACAAGACAGGGTTCGAGACTATTTTCACTGGGAGCACTGTAGCCCCTAACTGAAAAGTTTAGGGAAACAGGCAGAAATTTTAGGGGCGCGAAACTTAAATTGACCTGTAACGCAATATTTCACATTTTCCCCATTTTAACTGTATTATTAATAAATGCTTTGGCAATAAATACAGAATACTGTTTTATTTTAGTTCAGTCCCATTTTAATTGAATGTTGCTTAACAAATGCACATACTGGAAGTGGCATTTGTGCATCTGTATCAGCATATTTTATGTGCTGTGCTGTCCCAGTTGCCTCAGCAAACTTGGTTGTCCCCCGCACATCTAATGAAGTAGATATGGTGTTGGTCTTGGTTATGTATACTCCCTCAATCAGGGCTGGACTGACACAATAATTCAGGCTGGGAATTTGATTCCATCCAAGGCCACCCTGTTCACGCAAACCACCATACCACTAATTTGGTTGACTAACCTATTTATTGATGTAACGGGTACCAAACTAGGCACAGAAATTTATCCAAGCTGTGCTGACCTGTTAAACCCCGGTTGCCCCGGCCTTTCTGTGTGGAGTTTACATGTTCTCCTTGCGTGGGTTTCCTCCAGGTGCTCCTCTTTCCCCCAACACCAAAAAAAACATGTTTGGTTCTCCTATCAGTGGGTATCTCGTTCCCATAGTGTCGTCACTGACGCAGTTCGAGTTCCCTCGAAGGGGAACGAGACACTGCGTTGGTCCGCCACGCCTTGCCCCGCCTGGAGCGCCTTGCTTCATAGCAAAGAGCTGGTTTGTCCTGTGTGCCGGCGTGCTTTATATGCCTCCAGTTACGCCGTCCCACGCTATCGTTCGAGCAATGCCAATAGGATTGGAGTAGTTTCATTCATAATTCAGCCCTGCCACGCCTAGAGGCGTTCCCATAGTGTCGTCACCAACGCAGTGTCTTGTTTTTCAAACTACAAACCCACTTATGTTGATGATCTAGCTCATCTTAATTACATTTAATCAGGCACCGCCATCGCCCAAGTGTATCTACTGCAGTTTTATCAAGTGTAACACACAAAGCAACACAAATCGGACACATTAAATATCAAAATCAATATTTTTCCCATATTATTCTGTTTTAAACAGATTTTTATGTTTTATTTTAAAACGGAACACCCCCCCCCCCCAAAGAAACGACTGTTTTTTTTTCGATTCGGTTTTGAAATGAAATAATCAAAGAACGAACCGGACACCACGTGTCTTCCATAGGTTTAAAACAAATTGACACAGACCTCTTCATTCTTGAATTCAAAAAGCAATAATGGTTTTTCATGTTTTGATTCTGACAACAAAAACGGTTATTTAGGTTTTTGTTTCAAAATAACAGACTAATTTATTTTTGTTTTTGAATTACAAATGAATAACCAATCCAATGATACTCAGACTGCTTAGGACATCTAGGACTATCCTACTGGCTGTTCCAAGAGTTACAACAAAACACAGTGCAGCGGCATTCTGTGTTCATGCAAAATACTGTCCTGGAATAACATCTTAGTTAATATCAACATATAAACCGAAAAAGTTATTTTACACCGCCTACTCCAACATGTAACGTCTGAAAACCTTACATCTTAATTTACAGCCTTAACTTATTGTTCTTAATTTAATGAAATGGTGCATCTAAACGTGAGGGCATTTGGTGTGTTAGTACTAGTTTACGCTTACACTTTACACTAGTTTTCATCTTTTACCTTTGCTGTATTTTTGTACCCCATAAAGCAAATTGGCCTAGTGTATGAAATTTGCTAAACAAATAAAGTTGCCTTGCTTTTTGATGGACAGAATGTGCAAACTCTTCAGGACATTTTTAAGAAAAAAAAGTCATGTACTAGATTTGCCAAAACAACAGCCAACACAAGTATGTTTTAGCATTTACCTCATTGGCTTTCAGTGGAAAAAACAGGTCTGTGCTAACCACAAAAAACTTCAAAAGGAAATTAACACTTAGTGACACAATTTCCTGACTCCAAACCACAGTTAAACTGACAGCGATGAATCCTGTAGATTACTCGCCTGAGGTTGTTCCATTGAAGGGGAGGTTTGATGGGCTCCATGGATAGCCTGGAGGAACTACAGTGGTTTACTGAACCACTATAGTTCCTCCAGGAACATCAGTACTACAAACATCACTACTGAGCCCCCCAGAGCCACATCATCTGGTCCCTCTGCTGCTTTGCCTACTCAAACCCATGCTGCCTCGGACTTGTAGCTCTCATCTTCTCTGTCAAGGCGAGATTATGTGGAACAGTTCTGAATTGCTGGTTAAGTAGATCAGTCATGTGCAAATCTTCTCTTATTGCCTGTTAAATAAAATTTAACAAAAGAGTTTTAGAAAAATCTTGTATCATTATTATGTGAGGGTGGGGAATCAAAAGCTTTTGCAGGAGATTATGAGATCTAGCCTATGCTCAACACTAGGATCTGAAGTCCCCTTGAGGTTGAGCATAACTATAAATCTACTTTTAAAATCAGTGTGCTTTGGTCCTTTCAGGCCAGGAACCTGAACGTGGCTGAAACTCGGGATGGTTCTCAACACTACGGCTCCACTGCCCTCTGCCTCAACATCTGGGCCACAATCCTGGTTTCCATCATGATCTTTATTTCCATTATTATAATCATAGTGGTGGCCGAACAGGCAAAAGCAGCACACAGATACAGTGGGTACGGAAAGTATTCAGACCCCTTTAAATTTTTCACTCTTTGTTTCATTGCAGCCATTTTCCAAAAATCAAAAAAGTTCATTTTATTTCTCAGTAATGTACACTCAGCACCCCATCTTGACAGAAAAAAAACAGAAATGTAGAAATTTTTGCAAATTTATTAAAAAGAAAAACTGAAATATCACATGGTCATAAGTATTCAGACCCTTTGCCGTGACACTCATATTTAACTCAGGTGCTGTCTATTTCTTCTGATCATCCTTGAGATGGTTCTACACCTTCATTTGAGTCCAACTGTGTTTGATTATACTGATTGGACTTGATTAGGAAAGCCACACACCTGTCTATATAAGACCTTACAGCTCACAGTGCATGTCAGAGCAAATGAGAATCATGAGGTCAAAGGAACTGCCTGAAGAGCTCAGAGACAGAATTGTGGCAAGGCACAGATCTGGCCAAGGTTACAAAAAATTTCTGCTGCACTTAAGGTTCCTAAGAGCACAGTGGCCTCCATAATCCTCAAATGGAAGACGTTTGGGACGACCAGAACCCTTCCTAGAGCTGGCCGTCCGGCCAAACTGAGCTATCGGGGAGAAGAGCCTTGGTGAGAGAGGTAAAGAAGAACCCAAAGGTCACTGTGGCTGAGCTCCAGAGATGCAGTCGGGAGATGGAGAAAGTTGTAGTAAGTCAACCATCACTGCAGCAATCCACCAGTCGGGGCTTTATGGCAGAGTGGCCCGACGGAAGCCTCTCCTCAGTGCAAGACACATGAAAGCCCGCATGGAGTTTGCTAAAAACACCTGAAGGACTCCAAGATGGTGATAAATAAGATCCTCTGGTCTGATGAGACCAAGATAGAACTTTTTGGCCTTAATTCTAAGCGGTATGTGTGGAGAAAACCAGACACTGCTCATCACCTGTCCAATACAGTCTCAACAGTGAAGCATGGTGGTGGCAGCATCATGCTGTGGGGGTGTTTTTCAGCTGCAGGGACAGGACGACTGGTTGCAATTGAGGGAAAGATGAATGCGGCCAAGTACAGGGATCCTGGACGAAAACCTTTTCCAGAGTGCTCTGGACCTCAGACTGGGCCGAAGGTTTACCTTCCAACAAGACAATGACCCTAAGCGCACCGCTAAAATAACGAAGGAGTGGCTTCACAACAACTCCGTGGCGGTTCTTGAATGGCCCAGCCAGAGCCCTGACTTAAACCCAATTGAGCATCTCTGGAGAGACCTGAAAATGGCTGTCCACCAACGTTTACCATCCAACCTGACAGAACTGGAGAGGATCTGCAAGGAGGAATGGCAGAGGATACCCAAATCCAGATGTGAAAAACTCGTTGCATCTTTCCCAAAACGACTCATGGCTGTATTAGATCAAAAGGGTGCTTCTACTAAATACTGAGCAAAGGGTCTGAATACTTATGACCATGTGATATTTCAGTTTTTCTTTTTTAATAAATTTGCAAAAATTTCTACATTTCTGTTTTTTTTCTGTCAAGATGGGGTGCTGAGTGTACATTACTGAGAAATAAAATGAACTTTTTTGATTTTTGGAAAATGGCTGCAATGAAACAAAGAGTGAAAAATTTAAAGGGGTCTGAATACTTTCTGTACCCACTGTATATCACCCATTCAGACACAATTTAAATTTTTTTATTCTAGACTTTGTTATCAAATTCAGATTTCCTTCTCTTGTCTGTGTGGGTGCTCTCCGGGTGCTCCGCCTTCCTCCCACCATTCAAAAACATGTGGACTAGGTTGATTGGTGACCCTAAATTGTCCTTCGGTGTGAGTGTGAACGTGAGTGGTTGTTCGTCTATGTGTGGCCCTGTGATGGACTGGCGACCTGTCCAGGGTGTATGAATCTGATGATTTGTAATTAAATTCTGTATCATCACTAGACAATACAGTAAATGTACTCTTAGGGTCCCTTTCTTGAAATACACTAATGTCCTACCTCCAGATATAAGCCAATATCCCTTATTAAACACCACAGAAAGAGATGTAGAAATAGAAAAAAACATTTTGACCTATTCTTCTCTCAGCTGTTTGTAGTACAATGATGTTTACTCAATATAAGGAAAACATCCGAAATATGTTTTAGCCTACATATTCTGATCTAAAAATTGTTGAATTAATAATTAAAAAATGAAACGAGTCAGCACCAAAGCTTTGCTGGTTCCCTCTTTCCAATGAATACACACATTTAAAAAAGGTACCCTGTGGAGATTTTGACTGCTAGTAGCACTATATGAAGCAATGTGTTTACAAATGGGTCCCAGTTATGAGGATACACATGTGGGAGAGCATGCTGAAATGCATTCAACACAACTCACAAAACGCTATAGTTTATGTTTCCTTACACAAAGAGAGGAGAATTCTTGTTTCAGTGTTAATTTGAAGTGGTCAAGAAAGTGGTTTGTATGATAACATATTTATCATTTACAGTTTTTCACAATTGCTTAAACACTATTAGCAGGCTTTGAACTAAAATTTCAAAACCATAACTCCTTTTATCAAAAAGCACACAAAGACAATAGGCTTCACGAATGGACCAATGAGCAAACTCTATGTGCAGGTTGTACTCATGGGAGTTGTAGTGTCGTAGTGTCAATTGCAATTTGCTTATTTCAGATGCATTTTGAAGAGACTACAATCTTTTAACATGTCAAAGTTGCTAGTGGGAGTGACTGTGTTACCCGCCATGGCTGAAATCCACCTGAATTTGGTGGGTCTGTTATGAGCTTATTTTTGGGTTATGTTTGTGTTGTATTTTTCCCTGTGTGTTTCTGGTTTTACCATTGTTTCATTTGTCTATCTATTTGCCTTAGTTCCATGTTTAAGTGTTTTCCTGATCTGTATACTTCTGTGTTTTATCATTATGGTCTGTGTCCTAGTCCTTAGTCTTATATTTCCATGTTTTAGTGTAGTCTTGTCTCCTGTTTGGTCCTGTCTCTGTCCGTGCCCTGATTTTCCATGTTTTGGTGTTTTACTTTGGTAGATCTGTCCTTGTGTGTTCCTGTGAACTTTACTTCCTGTTTTATTTTGGTAACCCTCTGTACCTGGTGTCCTTGTCTAGCTTTGTTTGATTACCTGATGTATCTCAGCTGTGCAGCCCTCCCTGCTCGTTTACCAGTGTGTATATATTGTCCTCAGTTGTCTTCAGTCTTTGTCACGTCCTTGCATCTAGTGTTCCTGCCTGTTCCTTTGTTCTCCCTGTTCTGGATTATTCGCTGTGTTTTGGAACCCCTTTGTGTTTTCTGGATTACCTTTGTTTGGACTTTGCCTTGAGCTTTATGGAAGTTTTGCTGAATAAATCTTTTGTTTGAACTGCATCCTCCTCTTGCCTTGCCATTGTCTGCACTCAGCGCTCCCCGTGACCAGGTCGGTTGGTGTTAATGTCAAGCCTTACATGCATGCACTTCAACTATGTTCTCAGTCACTCCAGCAGTAGCACAACCTGCAGATCACTCCTTGTTTATCCAGTACGTTCTTCTGTTTATTTTTATTTGGTACTAGACTTAGTGTTATTAAAACATTTTGGATAACAGCTTGGTACATTTGCATGCAGCACATTGCAATACAAATCCAGTCAATTTATCTGAAGCGTTACAAGGAGCAGGGAACTACAGGAGATGCGTCATTTAAAATAAAGAGGTCATTCTTGCTACAGACTCAATTCTGACATGACCACCTTTGATTTTATTTGTCAGCTTCTACATTTATGTTGACTGTATGTTTATCTACGTGTAGCACCTGTGTAAAACACTACTTGGCAATAAAGCTCCTTCTGACTAACAATTGTCCTGATGCTGTCTGAAAATGGGCACATTCTTAACTATTTTGAACATTGTAGAGTTCAAATGGAATGTGACTTTTTTTTTTTTGAAGATTTCACCTACACTGATGTTTTGCAGATTAAGATGTTTCTCCTGTTTTGCATCCTTTGCCTGATGCCTCCAAGTGGCTACAGTCAGCTCAGTGGTCCACCTGGTCCACCTGGTATACCTGGTCCACCTGGTATACCTGGTCCACTGGTCCCAAAGGTGAACGTGGATTTCGTGGGCCAATGGGTATGTAATACTCACTATCCAAAGTCCTAGGATCATTCTTTCTGGACAGATTCCTGTCATCTTTTTGTCTGAATTCTTGCACCCCCTATGTCCAAGGCAGTTTCGAGAGAGATTGCAGGATTGTCACTAAAAACAATCTGCAATGATCCTCTGAGGTCAGCTTCCTTGTTCAGTTTCTTTATTTGGCTCACTGTGTCAGCTGTGATGGTCAGACTGTCAACTTCATAAACATTTCAAAATGTACAGGAAGGATTGCCATCCCATGCTGGGAAAAATATTCAAAATGAGGATGATTGGCCAACTACATTGGGCCAGTCTGTCATCTGCAGTCTCACTCAGGCAACACATATAGGGAAGACTGACATTCAATGGATCCTTTCAGGCTCCCCAGAGGATAAACCTTTTTTGACTTAGGTAACCTTCAGCCCTCTGAGAATAGCAAAAGATGTCTCAATTTTTGGGTTTTCAAGTAGAAAACAAACATTATAGCCTGATGGGGCTACTAGTGAGACGATGGATTTTTAATATTTTGTCTTTCTCTGCTCTTCTGGGATCATAGGACCTCCTGGATTCCTGGACCTGCTGTAATCTGTGGACGAGGTTATATATATTCTAGATTTTAAAAAAATACTTTCACCAGCTGGGTAACAACTGTTATTTAATAAATTGCAGGATGCAGCAGTAGTACAACTTGCGGGCAAACTTCAGTATCGTCATTGTGGTTAAGTATAGATGGATACACAAAGGGTGGACATCCAAAGAAACACTTGTACAGTGTATCCTAGTTTAGTTACAATAACAATTCTACTTGGTTTTTAAAGCTAGTGTTTTTCCTTGAGGCAGAGTCCAAGAGATTATTTCAACTCTTTGATCCCATAGTTTGTAAATGTAAAGGTAAATGTCACAAATTTCCCTCATAAAGATCAGCCATACGTTTGGGAGGGGATTTCAATGGTAGAAAGAGAAGATAACTAGAAATGTAATCAGACACATAGGGTCTGATTAAATATGCTATTGAGCTGCATTAAGGGAAATAATTCAGTATTTCTGACCTATGGAATCAAACTCCACCTCTACTTCTTTGACCCATTTTCTGTTAAACAGTTCAATTGTTTAAACACTAACCAGTCTATTGAACTAAAATGTCAAAACCATAACTCTACACACAAATCCCGTCAACACAAACAGTCAAAATTGATAACATCAATCAGAACCTTCAAAGATGGATAAAAGGGCCAGAGTGGGTTTGTTCAGTTTTGGAACAATGGATCCAGGCATAATTTCAAGTAATGTGTTTAAGCAATCGAGAAACTGTAAATTGGTGCCCTGGGCTACTACAGTTTATCTCAAACACACAATACTATAGTCTCTCACACTGGTGAGAATAACCAGTTTTTTAGTTGTATTGTTAATAAGCAATGTTGCTTGTCTTTCTCCCCCTTTATAAACCTTTTCACATGAACATAACAGACACAACAAATGTAAGCACTTACTTTTTTTAAATTCCATAATGTACAGTATAATTCACCATTAAACACATAAAAAAAAATTTAAAAAACATTCTGCCCCAGCATCATATCTTTGGTCTGAGAAAGGCCAGAGAATCTCATCCACCTCTTTTTTTCCTCACCCAACTTCTCCTCCTCCTCTCAGGTGTCCTCTACCTCTTCCTTCACTTCTTTCTGGATCCATTGTTCCAAAGTGTGCTGATGATTCTGGTCCTTTTATCTATCTAGTGAAGGTTCTGATTGGTGTGTTATCAATTTTGACTGTTTGTGTTTCCACCTGGGTAGTTTGTTGCTACTTGAGCTCTTTTTGATAAATGGAGTTGCCGTTGTGTGTGTGGTGTGTGTGTTTTTTTTTTTTTTTTCAAATTTCACTTCAAAAGCCTGGTTATAGCATTTAAGCAATTGAAAACTGTAAAAGTAGCCCTTCAAAACAACACTAACAGTTACTTTTTATTGTTGAATAATCTGTCTATATTTTATATTGTTTGAGCCAATTAATCATTCAATCTGCATTCAGTTTGAGTCACTTAATTCACGGCACATACGCCTACGTGTCTAAAGTGTGCAAAACTATCATTGAGTGTGTTCAGAGAAGGAAAAAAAAATAGAGATAACTTTGTGTGTAAGCAGTTGTGTGTAAAAAAAAAAAAAAAAAAAAAAAACTATCTTGACATGTCACACAAAAAGTGTGACATGTCAAGATAGTTTTTTTTTTTTTTTTTTTTTTTTTTTTGAAACCTCTCACTCAAATAGCAAAACCTCAACTTCAACCTCCAAAATGTCATAAGCTATTTCTCAGCCTTTCACTCAGTTTTCAATTGCATAAAACTCTCTTCAAAAAACTACACACAATTCTCTAAGACACAAACAGGAAGTGACTTGCTTTCTTTTTCCAAACACACACCAATGAAAATGCTACACTTCTTCACCAGGTCACATACCCACTCCTCACATGCGCAAACACTAACTGCTTAACTGATCACTAACCATGACTGCTTTAGTGTACAGTAGATCTATACATAGGTCAAAGGTCAGATTAAACAATGGATGATGGAACAGTGGATGCCAACAATGGATAGAGAGCAGGGGGAGTAGGAGGAGAGGCGGAAGACGACGAGGACAAGTTCAAGGAGGAAGAGTTGGAGGAAAGGAGGGCAAAGAAGAGAAGGAGAGCCATTACTGATGAGATCAGCGTCACACTTACTGATCATGTGATCAACCACAGGTTGACAATGAGAACAGCTGGACTGGAAAGCCCAACTTCCTGCCTGTACATTAGCATCCAACAGGTTTCAGCAATCTAATGGTATTTCAGCAGTACAGTATTTTTGGCATAAAAGTAAAAATTATACTTTTGGTTTACATATGTTTATGGTTTAATTTTCTTGTATGCTACTGTATACAACACTGCTACTGTTACAGCTGTAATTTCTTGCCAAATATCTTCTGTATCAACACTGTACTGGTGTTTATAGTGTACATTTCAGCCCATCTAAGATTACTTTCACTCTATAACATTGTATAGAAGTGTACACATAAGCCTATTAAAGACAAAAGAGCTTTAGATTTAAACAACAATGTGTAAATGGTATCCAAGGTGTTTGCCATCTGATGCCAATGCTTCATTTTGGGATAGGTTTATGGCATTTTGAATGTTTAATTTTAAAGGACATGAGACATTTTGATTTTGTGTGTGCAGTTTTGGGAATTGTGTGTAGAGTTTTGAAAAAGGAGAGAGTTTTGAAAATGTATGTAAGCA